TTGCGGGAGCGACGAGGTCGGCTAGACTCGTCATCTGCCTGGGTGGCTCAGCACAGCGCCCTCGGCGAGTGGTACCAAATAGACGCCACGAAGGTCATGCCGATCGGAGGCACCTTCCGAGGAGGAGGTTCGCGGATCGAGGACCGTGTTCTTTGGAAGTGTCTGGGCTTCAGAGAGCCTTTTTCCCGCTTTGAATAGACTCTCTCAAACAAGTTCCTCTGGTAGGCACGGTTGTCGATGTTCGAGGGAGTGGGGGATGATGAGGATGAGGATGATGATGACGGTGGTGAGTGATGATTTTGCTGATGATGATGGTGATGATGATGATGATGATGATGATTAAGATGATTGTGATGATGATGGTGATAGCGTTGATGATGATGGTGATGGCGACGACTATGACGATGATGGTGATGGTGAAGGTGAAGGTGCAGGTGAATGTACAGGTGAATGTGATGATGAAGATGACGCCAACGAAGGCATGGGTGACGACGACAGCGATGGTACTGAGGTTGATGATGATGATGATGATGATGATGATGATGATGATGATGATGATGATGATGATGATGTTGATGTGGATGATGTCGTTGATACTGATGTCGATAACGATGATGATGATGCTGATGATGATGATAATTATGATGATGATGATCATGATGATGACGATGATGTTGATGACTATGATGTTGATACTGGCGATGGCGAATCTGTTGCGGATGCTGCTGATCCTGATGAGGATGAGGATGATGAGGAGGACGATACTTATGTTGAGAAGGAGGAGGAGACGGAGGGATGACGCCGATAAGCAGGATCAGCATCTGGCTCAAAGCGTTGAGTGCTCCAGGACCGGCTTGAATGTAGCCGAACGGTTGGGGTCACCGCTGCGCCACTAGCCAACGGTATTGCTCGGAGGTCGGGCTGTGAGAACCAGGCGTCCCCAGCTTGGAAAGGTGTTGCGATTCTTGTCCTGCGTGCGGGCGAGGCGAAGATGCGCGAGGGCGGGCAATGATGTTCTGGCCAAGGCTAGGGCCACGTGTGGCAAAATGTTTGTGTCTCCGTCTCCCGGTGGCTCGCCGCGGTTGTCCCGGTTGTTGCCCAGTGGTTGTCCCGTGGTTCTTGTTTGAGTTGTCCCGTGCTTGTCTCGTAGATGTCCCTTGGGTTGTCCTGCGGTTTGCCTTTGCGTTGTGCGTTGCCTGTCCCGTGGGTTGTCTCCAGGGTTGTCCTGTGGATTGTTCCTCGGGTTGTGCCTTTCTTGTCCCGTGAAGTGCCCATGGATGTCCCCGCGGTTTTCTTGTGCGTTGTGTCGTGGATTGTTCCTCTGGTTGTGCCGTGGTTATCCATGGGTTGTCCCCTGTCTGCCCAGAGGGAATTTCGCACCGATGTGCAGATCGAGTGGTATGCAGTCCAAGCTGCAAGTCGAAATGCAAGTCACATTGCACGTCGATTCGCATATCGTAATTCAATCGATATGAATTTAATGTGCGACTAGAGCTGCACTCGAAAATGCATGTGGAAATCCAGCTCGACGTGAAATTCGGAATGGACATCAAACTGCAACTGACGTACTCATCTCCAAGTGAGCCACACAGACGCATCCAAATGCAATTGACAGGAACCTTGACATACACATCCATTTGCAATCGGAATGTAGCTCCAAGTGTACAGCTACATCCGAATTCAATTGCATTCGGAATGCGCATCGACCTGCACATCAAAACCCATTTCCACTTGCAATTGAAATGCACATTGGCATGGTACTCACACTTCCAAACCCATTGGCAATCGTCATGCAAGACGACATGCACATCACATTGCGACCGAGCAGCATATAGAGATGCAAGTTCCTCTCCCAACCTCCTTATCACCCGAGGAGTAGTATTAGGTACATTCCGGATGTCTCCGATCGAAGCACGCGGATTATGTTTGTAATGCAGCCCGCCGCGCTGAGTTGCGCGGTTTGCAGGATGAGGGAGGAAAAGGAGTCCTTGGGGAGGTGTTGGCATTTCCTGTTTGTGCAAGGGTTTTTGGGAAAAGCTGTGGTCTCCGGCGCGGAGGGAGCTGCGCGGGAGTTTTGTGTCACCTGTGCACCCCTGGCCCCCCGTTCCCCCCACCTCACACGTCTGACGATCACAGGGTCCACGGGGTCGGCACACTGTGCACAGGAGCATCACGAAGCGGGCGAGGCGTATGCCCTGCCCCTACAGTCTCGAAGAGCCCCGGGGACTTTGTCGAGGCGCCCCAGAAGAGCTTCGGAACGGCAAGGCGGTGCATGCCACGGAGCGCGTCGAGACAGAGGGGGGTGGGGAGGGCCTTCGAAGACTCACGTCACGTCCTCCTGGCCAGGCAGCACCTGGCCTTCCATCACGCCTCAAGGTGCCGGGGGGCGCGGTGGCGGATAGAGAGAAAGAGATACATGAGGTAGAGAGAGAGAGAGTCTCAGAGAGAGAGAGAGAGAGAGAGAGAGACTCGGCATCGCTCCGAAGTGTACGTTTTTCTTTTCCACGGCGAGGGCCGTCGAGGAGCGTCCTGGATCATTTCCCAAACACAAAGAAGCCCGTGCGAAGCCGGAAAATGCACGGGAAATGGACGTCCGAGCGACGGCAAGGAGAGAATCGGACGGGGCTAGGACGAGGATAACTCTGTTCCAGAGCGGTCCAAGACGCTCTCAGAGCGTTCCGGCGCCCGAGACATCCTCCGGAAGCGCCAGATCTCAGAGATTTCTGTTTAATTCTTATCCAAATGTATCTTTTTTTTGGCTTCGTCTGAGAGAGAGAGAGAGAGAGAAAGAAAGAGAGCGCCACACCCGGAGGCATCGCTTTGAGAGGACGTGGAGACCGTCCTCAATGGGTCACCGAGTTCATCGTGTCGTACAGCACAGGCGGCCCCATGCCGTTGTCCCTCTGTCGCCGCATCGTGCAGTCGGACCGAGGTATTCGATCGAGGCCGGTTCGGGGGGGTACCTAGTCCTTGAGATCCCAGCGACCCAATTTTTCGAGCCAGGAGTTTTCGCTCAGTTCTGGGCCCCGGAACCCTCACAGATCGATCCGGCGCAAAAAATGACGCAGACAGATGGTGTCCCGGGGTTTTGTCGTGATGATGCTGTATTTTTTTTGCAACGTCGGATCTCAGGGGTGTTCTTCGTGTTCGTTGTTTTTCTTGTGCATCTTGGGAGAGGGTACACTCACATGTCCTTTGTGCTTTGGCTGGCGGAGGGCCTCACGCTCTCGAGGGATGTCCTCCTGCCCCGGGTCCGACTGCAGCAGGGCGGATATGGAGGCTGGGTGTGAGACAGGCCTCGGACAAAAATGACGAGCACGCATGCCACGTTCACCGGTCAACGCCTCCCCTCTCCTGCTGTTCAAAGCTGATGGGTCTGACCGGTTGCACCTCGACCGCAGTCTCCCCGGCCCCACGCGTGCAAACTCTGAGCTCGGGGGAGCGGCGGGAGTGTCCATCGACTGTTTCCCCCGACCGGAAGTTCATGTGCCACATACCTGGCTTGAAAGCATAATACGATAGATCATGACTTTCTAGATCGACATGGGATAGTGTAGGAGGTGTTCACCACAGCAGACCTGCACACCTCAACACAGAGAAAACACATCACCGTTGCATAACCATTCGGGCACCTGGAACATCGGACGATAACATAACACACCATTGCATAGCAGCACATAGCGGAACATATTATAATGCAACTCAGTAGTACCGGATGTAGATACCATACCGGGGTGTATCACAACTCTACATCACATGCTATACCATAGCAGAAACAATTAAGATACATTGGTTTTTGTGGGCGTCCAGGAGCCTCAGAAGACCCCCCGCCTCCCCTTGGGGCTCCGAAGGGTTCCCGGATGTCCCCGTCAGCCTTCCCCTTTGTAGCGCCCCAGTGTTGCGGTGCGTCCTGGACGCCTTTCCGTTCAAGTATGCCGTCCTCACGTCCTTCATCCCACATCGGGGCCCGCCACTTTTATTATCCACCGTCACCGATTCTGGCAATTTCTGTGCTACATCTGTGGCCGAAGCAGGGAGAAACCATCGAACCACATCGTAACATGCCCATGCTCTCCCTTCTCCGCCCTGCGTCCCCCCTTCACTCTTCCCTCCTTCTTCCTCCTGTCCCTTCCCCGATCCCGCTTCTTTCTCCTTCTCTTGGCCCCCCGCTTTGTATTCCTCTTCCGCCGTCCAAGTCCAAGTGGTTGGGACGCTGCTTCTCGCCCCCTCCTTCTCCTCCCCCTTACCTCTGTCCAGCCCGTCCGATTCCCCCTCCCTCGGTTCCCTCTTGAGTTCCCCTTCCGCCCATTCCATCCCGCCCTCTCCGCTGAGCCTTGGGCCAGGCTTTGCAACCTGTGCACTTCGTGTTTTTCTCATCATTCGGTGAAGCTGCCGTTTATGTCTCCCTTCCCCTCTTCCCCCCCATCTCCCCCTCCCCCCTTCCTCTCCCTCTTGCATCCGTCTGCCTCATCCACCCGCCCTCTGACCCCGTTCTATCTTCGATTGCTCAATTTGGACACTATTCTCCAGGCTGTGCTTTCCAGTTCCAGCCCCCCCCCACTTATTTTTCCCCACGCAGGGATTTTCCATATCTGTGCTTGTCATAGTGTTTTCCTAAACAGAAGCCTCTGTTTTGTTTCCAGCATGTTGTTCCCGCTGCAGCTTTCATCTCATTTGAACATCGGCGTTTTTCATCCCGTCGTTCACACTGGCGCTTCCGCTCCAGTGCGGGCCTCATTTATGGTATTGCTACGATTTCCCGCACGTCGTTGTCGCCCCATTTCTTTCCCCTCCGCCTTCCCGACTGGTCCTCCCGCTTTTCCCGCTCCTCGTGTCCCTGCTGCTGTTGCTTCTCCTCTTTCCTTACTCTCCTGCTGTTCCGCCTCTTCCGCAACCTCCTCGTCCAATGAGCAAAGCTTCCCTGTCTGATTGCGCATTACGCGATGGGGTCGTCTGGGGGATCCAGGTCCGCTAGGAAACGCGTTGGCGGACAAGCAAATCAGCGGGAGGGGTAGCGCACACCCAACTTTCTTGCCGCGTCTCTCCTCGATCCCCCCTCCTCCGCGTCACGGGGGGCTCCTTTCGGGGAGTGACCTCCAAGTTTTCGCCCAGGCTGCATGGTGCACTCGCTTTGACCCGGCCTGCATGCGGGCTGTCTGGGGCAAGCAGAGGAGGGAGATGAGGGAGAGGAGGAAGATGAGGACCAGTCTAAACCCCAGATTCACCAACGAGGTTGGGATACACCCTCCCCTCGAGCTCCCTCTTCATAGGCCCCTTCAGGGGTTCATATCCACTCAGGGAATTGCCCCGTAGGGGGACAAGCATGTGAAAATCCTGAGGCGTGCCAGAACAGTATTCTCGGGATTTCACCGCCACAAGTCAACTTGACTGGTACGTCTTGACGATCTGGAATCGTGCCAGAACGCTATTCTTGGGACTTCGACAGAGCAAATTGGCCTAACGATTGCGCCCTGACTACCTTAAACCGCTCCCAGACAGAATTTCTGGTCCGATAACCATGAGAGTCAGTGAACATATTGAGAGTTTTTAGAGTGCGCGCGGCGCTAAGGCGAGCGCCACATTTTGAAACGGAACCGCTCGCACCCCGTGAAGCCTTTGCAGTTTTGTTCACCAAATGTGGGCGGCACTAAGGCGAGAGCCATAGTTTGAATAAAACGTACCCTCAATCCGCGAAACTTCTGCACTTGATAAACCAATGTGCGCGGCTTTCATGCGAGAGCCCCATTTAGAAAACGACCTGCTCTGAATCCGTACAACGCTTGCACATGTTGAATGCGAGTGTGCGCGGCGCTGAGGCGAGAACCACATGTTGAAAACCGCCCGCCCTCAACCCGTATAACTTTTGCAATTTGAAAAAACGACGATGCGCGGCGTTCATGCGAGGGACACATCTTGAAAAAGTTCCGCCGTCCATTGGTGCAATTATTGCCACCTTCTGAGCTTCAGGATCATACATGGATCGCCCGGCTTGCCCTTGCGTCTGGCCTTGGGGTGCGACAGGGAGGAGTTGGTTTATAAAGAAATGGAACGGAGGGTTTGAATTGACACGTCGCATCGCAGAGACTAGGACCAGCAACGACAAGGGAACGGCTCCAGCGAACCCGACCCCAAAAGGGAAGGGCGCCCCAGACCTTAACCCTCCGCGCCATCAGTCGAAGCCAAGGAAGCACCACAGTCCACCGCACTGGTTACATCAGCAAGAGGCACCAACTCGTCAAGCGTCACATCCCCTTTCAGGTGGTTGGGATGGATGCCTCTTCGAATTCTTCTAACCCACGAAGAAACGTCCCCATACAAATCCGGAAAAATGCGGGGACGCTTTTGTCGCACCCCTGTGGTTCACCTGCCGACGTAGGAATGGGTGAGCTGCTGTAGTTCACCTGCCGATGCAGGGGCAGCTTTCGAGACATGCCCGAAGGCGCCCCGATGCACACCCCTAACCGTCCGTCCCAATGGCAGCCCCTCGCGCGGCGCGCACGGCACGGCTGAGGAGGGTAAGAAACCAAGCCAGCCGACATGGTTCACCCGACAAGCGGGGGCGGCGCAGCGGCGTGCCCGAGAACGACGATGCCGTCAAAACCGGCCAGGCCGAGGGAGGGCCGCGCCCACGCGGTGCGTGCAGGCCCGACTAAGGCCCCCTCAAGCCTAGGAGCCCTTGCCTTGGAGGCAGGACAGGACCAGCGGGTGGATGATGCCCAGCACGGAGCTTTTGAGCTCGGCGAGCTCGGTGCCGACCTTCACTTCGAACCCCTTTGTCCGGCATTTCATATTGTCAAGATCTGTTGCGAGGTCGGCTTTCTGCTCCTTCAAGTAGTAGGTGACTTGGTGAAGGTCTGTCTTGGCGGCGGCCTTCTGCATCATCATTTCTCCGCGGAACAGCGTGAGATCTTCGATGGGCGCCTGGCCGCTCAGCAGCACATTCGTGAAGTTTGTGGTAGTGTCAAGATCTGTTTGTTTGCGGCCATCTGCTCCTTCATTTCGCCGACGGCCGAATCGAGGCCTGTCTTGATGGCGGCCGTCTGCAACTTCAGGTCGCTTCGGACCTGCTCGAGAAGCTGCCCCAGCATGGAGCTGTTGATATTGTCCAGATCTGCTTTCTGTGCAGCCATATGATCCTTCAACTCGCTGTGGATCGGGTCGGTCGTCTGCAACTTCAGGTCGGCACGGACCTGCTCGAGAAGCTGCTCTATGTTGGGGCGGTTGATATTGTCAAGGTCGGCCTTGTGCATGGCCATCCGCCCCACCAGCTCGCGGTAGACCTGGTCGAGGTCTGTCTTGGCGGCGGCCGTACACATCTTCACCTCGTCATGGATCTGCACGGGGCCGTATTTGTGCACCACGTCATTGGCCTTCTCATGGTGGCCCGCGAGTTTCTCAAGCTGGGACACTTGCAGCATGAACTCCTCCAGCGGCGGCTCCATGTTGGGACCTATGGGCACCATCTTGCCCTCGTCGTTTTTGTTCTGGAGCTCCTCCATGGACTCCAGATTTTCTGGGACAGTCTCGCAGTCCCCGGTGAAGAAACTCTTGTCCTTTTTCTTGCTCATTTTGGCCCTGAGCGGCACCATGGGCATGATGACCTCCATATCCCCAACGTTCACGGTGGGGCCGTCGAGGATTACCAATTCCATGTTGATACCGCTGCTCTCACCGTTCAGCTTTTTTAGTAGCCAGACATCACATTGCCGAAGTCTTCGCAGAGGAGATGCCAGTGCACTAGCATCTGGACCTTCATCTTCAGGCAGGAGGTTTTACCAATCCCAACAGGGCTACCTCGCCTTCAGCACGCACACGTACTGCTCAAGCGGCAGGCTAACGCAGCAGCGTGGCGGCGTTTCGACTTCAGCGCGAGGGCGAGGG